ACCCGTACGAACACTCTTCCAAAGTTATGAAATCCTGGTGGTGCGAATGCTTCTGGCGCCACGCGGTTGATGAGTGACAGGACATTGACGAATCTCAAGGGATGTTACACTTCTTCTGAGAAAGGATTCTTCCGTTTGGTCGATTAAGAAAAAGTTATGCCTTACATGGCATCCTGATCGACGAAATATTTACTGTTTGAAAGCTTGCAGAAGCTTGACATTCGATTCAATCTTAAAAGTGAATTCATTCGACCTGTTCGCATGATATCCTAGTGTGATTGGATTTGTAAGATATAAGCGCATATTTTTGTTGAATACAATATATATATTTATTTATCTGATTAATAACAAAGAGGAGTCAATTTTAGAATTCTATTATTGTTTAAAACAAATATGTCAAAAAATAATAGAACCAATAATAATTAATATTCTATAAATAATTTATAAGATTAAATGTTAAAATGAATCTAATATCTTTCGAAAATAAATCAATAAGTTTTAGCTTTCGAAATTTTTTTATAAAATTAGGAACAATTCTGATCGATTTGTTTAGTCTAATTGAATAGATTTCTGCAAAGTTATACAAGCCTAATGCATCTATGACATCAATAAAAAAAAAGTTTCTGCGTATGTGATGTAACACGAACTTCATTTTCAATGCATACTCGGAACATCCATAAAGGATAGGATTGCAGATATTATAGTAGGAGGATAATATCGAGGATCGATGTTATCCTGTCGCCTCAGTTATTTTCTTTTATCCTGATACTTGAGCTTATTTTGTCTTTTGAAGTCCTTTTATTAAATCGATACATAGTGTTATTCTTTAAATACTCCTTTTACTAATGAAAAAAATGTTTTTTATTAAGTTCGAAGATTATTGATATGTAATAAATATAAAACATAACTGAGTTATTTTTTTCAGTTAATTATATAAACGAAATACGTATTATAATTAATATTTTAATCAAATTTTTTTAAATAACTAAAACTTCAAAGCTTTAGTTAACAAAAGAATAAATTTACGATTATGTCATTAATGAAACAGAAAGTAAAAATTAATTATTTCTAACAAATAAAATTTCAAAATCATATGAATATATGATTTTCTATCGTGTAAAATTATTCTAATACTCTATTTTCTCTATTTATAAGATAATGATAAATGATTTAATTTTTAAATATTAATAACAAATTTTTCTCCTAAGATTATTGTAACACATTATTTTAACAAATGTTTTAGGAATTTAGGAATTATTTTTTTATCATGTTTAATCGAATATTTTTTTTATTATTTATATATTATCTTGCATTCTACTTCCATTCAATTCTACTTTCCTTAACCTAAATTTCCTCTTTTCTTCCGGTGTCTATGTAGTTTTGCGGAAATGAATTCCGATAGCTGATTTGAAAACTTTTATTTTTTATATGAATTTAAATCAAATTTATTATTGCAGCAGTAGATTTTATTTTTATATAAAAATAAACAAGTTACAGATTATATCTTTTAAAATTATATTTTATAAATTATAAAATATTAAACTTTTGATTACGGATAAACTTTTAATAACGTAATGAAATATTAATGTTTGTTCTTTGTAATTAATTTTCATATGATAATAACATATATAATAATTCATTTACGAATTTCTCTTAATGTGAAGGAAGAAGAACACTCAATTGATAAATTTCTCAAAAAGGCAAAAGTCTCACTAACTACTAGGCAAAATAAGCAGGATTTCATCCTTCGTAGCAAGTTCTGCAATCGTGTGCGACCTATTTTACTCTATATGTCCTTGATCCTGAAATATGCTTCGCGTTTGAGGCAATTATCCTCATTAATGTAGACGTGTGATATCCTTAATTTAATTGTATCTTTTCTTTGAGATACTGTTCACTTTTGCAGCAATATATTATATATATTAGCCACACTTGAAATTTTTAAGAAAATAAGATTGAAATACTGTTGTCATAATTCTATTTCTTTCATTAAATTGTTCTTTTATATTTCTTTTTAAAAAATATCAATAATTAATAACATAAAATTTTAAAAAATTATTGCTAAGATATAAATATTCATTTTTTAAATTTTTAATCAAAATTTATTTTTATGATTCATTTTTTTCAATGTAGTAGTATTTAAATTATAAATATTAAATATTATGAAAGTTAAATTATAAAAAAAGATTTAAACGTTAAGTGTTTTAGAAAATTTATATATGACATCATATAAATGCTGTAATATTGTGAAAATAAGATGCTCTGCGCGTTAGGATAACAGAATATACTAGGAGTATCCCAGTTTCTATCCTTGCTGAAAATGAAATATTTTCGATAGCTGACTAATTGTAAGTTAGATAAAAGTATACTTCGGCTCAGGGGCACGTATTTTATCGAATACGCTGGAATCAGGTTCATCATCAGGATCAAATTCAATGCTCATTGGATCAATCTTAGGTGGAGGTCTTGGTATTCTTGATTGCCAAGATAAAATTGGACGCATTATACTTGCTTCTACTTTTTCTCGAACTATTCTTTCTTCATCGTTTCCATCAATTTTTATTGCAGATTCGCCTGCATATTCCATCATGTCAATCACATTTTCTTCATATTCTTGTAACTTTAACAATATTATTATAGTTATAATGATGCATAAATTTATCGATTTTGAAACTAAATTTGATTTATATTTTTACATCTCGTTCGACATTCAATCTGAAATCTTTAGGATGAACACCTAATTTAAGATCATCGTTACCGATGATTGTTGTAGACAAATTGTGTTTGCTTCCTGTGACAATATTGTATCGACGATTGAGTAGTCTTTCTCTGCAGATATCACTACTTACTTCCATAAATATTACTCTAAAATATTTAACATACTGAACAAAAAATTTTAAAAAAAATTTTCGCATTTAAATTTTAGATATTTGCTTTCTTTCTTTTTTTTTTTTTCTTACCTGTTTGGAGGGGTAGGACTCAAATCAAATAATTTAAAATCTTCTACAGTTTTTGGATAACCCGTTAAGACCCAACCTCTTTTCAAACACTCATACTCAGATATTTGTTTCTAAAAATAATGTTATATCATTATCATTGAAGTAAAAATTCTATTCATTAATTTTATTATACTTCAACAATTTGAATTCTAATTTCAGGTTTGGGTCTTTCACCCCATTGTTCTTCAAATAATCGAAGAATTTTTCCTAAAGAATTTTGTTGTAAACGCGCTTGTTCTGCAATATAATCATAATCGACTGAAATAAATAGTAATTTTTGTTATATAGTTTTGTTATATTATCTAAAAATAAGAAACTAATAATAAATAGATGAAAATTACTATAAACAAGATTGAATCGTTCAGCTAAGTATTTTGCTATAGTAGTGCAGCCAGATCCCCTAGAGCCAATTAATACAATACGAAAAAGCGATGGTGTTCCACAATGTTTCTTTATTTTTGCTAATTTTGCACAATCTTTTCCAAGTTCTTCAATGGATCTGATACCTACTTCGATTTCCTAGAAATGAAATATTTTTTAATTTTATTAAGAATATTGCTTTTCTTTATTATTATATTTGTTATTCTATTTAATTAGAAGTATAAATTTTAAAAATTAGAAATATAAAACTTAACCAACTATTAAATAGTGTGCATATACTTCTCGTAATTCTCGTAAATTTTTTAAATATTGATTTTGTGATTTTTTAGATTTTATGAAAGTTGAATGAGCATTGTTTGTATAAATATCATTCCATTTTTCTATAAAAGAAAATCATGTAAATTTATTACAAATTTAAATATGTTTCTTTATAATTTTACCATATTCATTTGAAACTTTGAGTTGTATCACATGCGTCGGTATTATACCCATACGCTGAAATATTCGTGCTTCTTTTTTCGTTCTTGGCAAATCTATATTATAAATCAAAGGTAAAAAGAAGCTTTTACAATATGCAATTCTTTTTTTATTATGTTTCTATATTTGCACATATATTTTTATATTGTTACCAAATAACAACCATCCACTTTCATGAAAAGCTCCGCTTTCTAATACTTTTCTCATTGCATGTGCAAGATCTTCTGATTCCTCGCAATAACAAGTATCCTAATAAAAAAAATTTATTTCTTGAAAAAATGATAACAAAAATTTGAATTCTTCTTACATTCTGCTGAGAATAAACTTTACGAAGATCTTTCAAGCTCAAAGGATATACACCTAATTCTTTCTGAAGAATTTTGGCTAATGCCTTTCTATCTGTATATATAAAATTTTTTTTTTACTCTCAAAAAATACAATTTAATTTTAAATAACTTATATATAGAAATTCGAAACCTACCAAAACTTTCAGGTGCAATTAAAATAATATTGGATATATCGAGTTTTTTTGCAGCAAGATGAAGATATTGTTTCATAAATACAAGATGGTCTTCGGGTTTTTGAATCAATAATTGAGTTGCTATTTCCTGTATATATTTCTTTTTTTTATGTGAAATAAAATGAAAGTAAATTAAAGATAATATTTATAAAATACAAATTATTTACATAAAATAATTCATATAGACGATGTTTCTCCATATACGACATAAAATTTGCATACATAGTATGCATTTTTTTCTCTGTTTCCTGTAATCTCGACATTTTTCATTTTAAAATATTCACATTTAAAAAATATATTTTTGTTTACTTTTATTTCATTTTAAAAATCATAATTTATTTTTATCGTATCTAATTACTGTATCGCATTTATTTCAATTGTTTTATTTGTATTATAACTGTACCATGTATTATTTTTTGTTTTTATCTATTTTATGTATATTTAAAAATAATATAATATCCATATATTGTTCAAATTCTTTTTTTGTAAAGGTTTTTTTTCACAAAATGTTAGTTTTACTATTAATTCTTTTTTTATTTATATTCTTAATAGATAATAAATATCTTATTTATAATTATAAATTACTGCAATATGCTATGGTATGCGGAAAATTGGATGGCGCCACGTGCTTTCGTTTTTTATGGTAGTAGATATCGGGTGTGAAATATTGAGGTTAGGAAACTAAGTACACGTTTTAGTATGTCAACCGATAAAAAAATATTAGATGTTACGAAAAAAATATCTGATATAGAAATGGAGGAAACGGGGAAAAAATTAACACACAAGGAAAAGAAAAAATTAAAAAAACAGCAAGAATATGAGAAAACGATGGAAATGTTAACGAAAACTGGTGGTCAGGGTCATAGCGAACTTGAAACAAATTTCACTGTTTCTCAGACTCAAAGTCAACAACGAAGTAATCAACAATTAGAAAATGCTGTTGATATTAAAGTAGAAAATTTTAGTATTGCTGCTAAGGGAAAAGAATTGTTTACCAATGCTAGCTTATTGATTGCACAAGGTAGACGTTATGGATTAGTAGGACCAAATGGGTATATATTTTTCGAATTTGTAATTAATAAAATATAATTTCGATATTAATTTAATTAATAGTATATAATTTCAATTTTTATTTCAGTCATGGAAAAACTACTTTACTTCGTCATATTGCAAAACGAGCTTTTGCTATTCCACCTAATATTGATGTTTTATATTGTGAACAAGAAGTTATTGCTGATGATACTCCTGCTGTAGAAGTAGTACTTAATGCAGATGTAAAATGTAAAGATTTAATGACAGAATGTAAAAAATTAGAAGAATTTGTAGAACAAGGAGATAATTCTGTTCAAAATAGATTGCAAGAGGTAATTTACTAAATATATCTTAATAATTATATTATAGTAATATATTTTTTTTATAGGTTTATGAAGAATTAAAGATAATTGGTGCAGATTCTGCAGAACCACGTGCAAGAAGAATTCTTGCTGGTCTAGGATTTAATCGTGCTATGCAAGATCGAGCAACAAAAAATTTTTCTGGTGGTTGGCGTATGCGTGTTTCTCTTGCTAGAGCTCTTTTCTTAGAACCAACATTATTATTACTTGATGAACCAACAAATCATTTAGATTTAAATGCTGTTATTTGGTTAGACAATTATCTTCAAGCCTGGAAAAAAACTTTACTTATTGTTTCTCATGACCAAAGTTTTCTAGATAATGTATGTACAGATATAATTCATTTAGATCAACAAAAGTTGTTTTATTACAAGGGAAATTACAGTATGTTTAAGAAAATGTATGAGCAAAAGAAAAAAGAAATGATTAAAGCATATGAGAAACAAGAAAAACGACTTAAAGATATGAAAGCTTCAGGTCAAAGTAAAAAACAAGCTGAAAAGAAACAAAAAGAAGCCTTGACTAGAAAACAAGAAAAAAATAGAACAAAGATGCAAAAGCAAGAAGAGGACAGTGCACCTACTGAATTATTACAAAAACCTAGAGAATATATAGTAAAATTTAGTTTTCCTGATCCACCTCCATTGCAACCACCAATCCTTGGTCTTCATAGTATGTCAATATTTAATTTTTTTTTTATATTTTAAGAAAAATAATTTAAAAATAAATATTTTATTTTAGATGTAATTTTTGCTTATGAAGGACAAAAACCATTGTTTATTGATGTTGATTTTGGCATAGATTTAAGTTCTAGAATAGCTATAGTAGGACCTAATGGTGTTGGCAAATCTACATTCTTGAAATTATTAACAGGTGATTTACAACCAATAAAAGGAGAATCCATAAAAAATCATCGATTAGTAAGTAATAAAAATATATTTTATTATTTAAATAACAAAATTATATATCTAAATTATATTTTATGATTTTTAGAGAATAGGAAAATTTGATCAACATTCTGGTGAACATCTAACTGCTGAAGAATCACCAGTGGAATATTTGATGCGTTTATTTGATTTACCATATGAAAAAGCTAGAAAGCAATTAGGGACATTTGGACTTAGTTCTCATGCTCATACAATTAAAATGAAAGATTTGTCAGGAGGTCAAAAAGCACGAGTTGCATTAGCTGAATTATGTTTAAATGCTCCTGATGTTGTAATTTTAGATGAACCAACAAATAATTTAGACATAGAATCTATTGATGCATTGGCTGATGCTATCAATGAATATAAAGGAGGAGTTATTATTGTCTCTCATGATGAACGTTTAATTAGAGACACAGAATGTTGCTTATATGTAATTGAAAACCAACAAATTAATGAAATTGATGGAGATTTCGATGATTATAGAAAAGAATTGTTGGAAAGTTTAGGAGAAGTTGTTAATAATCCAAGTATAGCTGCAAATGCTGCTGTTTTGCAATGAATACTTTCTCTTTGTAGAGCGATAATAATTTTTAATGGTTCATAAAATTAATCCTTTTAAATGAATATTCCTTAAATATATCATTGCTTTCTCCATATTAGCTTTTTTTCTGTAATATCATGAGGTTTTTACTATCAGATTTAAAATATGACTATCAATGTTGTAAATGCGAAATGTTATTTGAATTTTGCTTCAGATTTTACATCATGTTTGATAGTTGACAATTAAAATATTGTCAAATTGTAATAAAATTATAAATTTTAATATGAACTATAATTGTCATGAATATGAAAAGTTGAAAGACATTACTGTTTTTAATATATAAATTTTATTATTTATAAAATTAAAATATTCTAATTCTTTCAATTTTCCATATCTGACAGTTATAATCAATTTCAATAGATATAATAATCAAGTCTTCGAAGAAATATTTATATACATGTGTATTATTAAATTCTACACATAATTGTGTAGTTGTATTATAAAAATTTGCTTCATGTTTGAAGAAAAAAAATAGAAATGATTTATATGTTGATCTCTACTTAAACAATTTGTACATATATGAATTTTGTATTAAAATGAGAATATATATATAATATTGTGTTTAGAAGACGTAATAATTTTCCTTGAAAATCTTGTTTTAAAAAACTTTCTTATCATAAACGCTTCTAGTAATTTCTAAGAAATCTGAAAAGAGTTGGTTCTACTGAAATGCGTATAACCGGCGGCGCAATGTTCGCTGCCAAAAGGGGTAGACGAGTGATGTGAAAATTGTCAAATATTTTGTGCGAGGTGGTGTCTTGCGGTGAATTTGATAGTGTCGCAAAAAAACGTCGCAATGTCCAGTACTCTGGAGAATAAGATCTTAAATTTGCAAGAACGTCTTAGAGCAGAAAATGAATCAAGAGATAGAGATAGACAGAACAGCGAGGTTGGACCAGGAACGAGCCTTCAATCGTCATCTTCGGGATCTGTCTCAAGTTCTGCTTCACGTCGTGAGTTTAATTTAAACATCTTTGTGATTATGATAAAATTTTTTCTTGATTTTTTTTTCCAAAAATTTTGAATAAAATTTTAGTTTTATTACTTGTCGTACAGGTTATGTTGATCATCACAATTTATTCTGTTGATTCTATATACGATACTTTTTCAATCTTTCTATTTAACGCGTAGTTTATTTCATTCAAGTTTTTAGTAATTTTTATTTGAATTATACACTTAAATGTTTTTTTATTTTAACATATAAATCGAGTTTTGATATAAATAGAAAAATGTTTAAATGAATCATAAATAAAAACAATACTTTTTTTTTGAGTAAAATTATCTTTGTAATGATAAAAATAATATTCTCTTTTATCTAATTTTGAATTATTTATCTTTAAATGATTTAATATTTATCTATTAATAGTCAAATATATTATTAATAAAATGATTTAAATGAAACTATGAATGTTTATGTATTTATAAGAAAATTAAAAATGTAAAAATATACATACATATGTTACATGTAAAAATATATAAAATATTTATTTTAATATTTAAAAAATAAAATAAATCTCTATTTAACATTTATTTTTTTAAATTATATTTGTAAAATATTAATTTATATAAATATACACAATTTAATAATAAAAATCTACTATCATTTTTTTTTTCATGTTCTTAAAATGTGAAATATATTATTTCTTTTTATGTCTTAAATATGATTGACTTTTATTTCTAATACAGCTCCAATACCAACATTGAAAGTCTCACAAATACCTCCAAAGAAACAAGATAGTGAATTTGAATCAAAACTACAAGAAATTATGAAAATGAATGGTATTTTAAATATTAATGGTCAAAGGTACCAAACTGAAATGAAAGACTTAGAGCACCTAGGTGAATTGGGAAATGGTACCTGTGGTCATGTTGTAAAGATGAGGCATAAACCTAGTGGTGTACTCATTGCTGTCAAGCAAATGAGACGTTCTGGTAATGCAGAAGAAAATAAAAGGATAATTATGGATCTTGATGTTGTTTTAAAATCACATGATTGTCCATATATTGTGCAATGTTTGGGTTGTTTTATTACTGAATCTGATGTATGGATTTGTATGGAATTAATGGCAACTTGTTTAGATAAATTATTAAAAAAAACGAGACAAGCAATGCCAGAAGAATTTTTAGGAAAAGTTACAGTAGCAGTAAGTGATATCATAAATTTTATTATTTATTATTTACTCTAATATCATTTTGAATTATTTATATTAAAAATATTTTTATAGACAGTAAAAGCATTATCATATTTGAAAGAAAAGCATGGTGTAATTCACAGAGATGTAAAACCTAGTAACATACTTCTTGATGAAAGGGGAGGAGTTAAATTATGTGATTTTGGTATATCTGGTAGACTAGTTGATAGTAAAGCAAAAACTAGAAGTGCAGGATGTGCTGCTTATATGGCTGTAAGTATATTTAATATTATTTCTTGTTATATCTATATTTTGAAATTATTTTATGAAATATTGTTATAATTTTACAGCCTGAAAGAATTGATCCTCCTGATCCAACTAAACCAGATTATGATATAAGAGCAGATGTTTGGAGTTTGGGTATCACTTTAGTTGAATTAGCTACAGGAGTATTTCCTTACAGAGATTGTAAGACTGATTTTGAGGTAAAATGAGTAATATATGTAAAAAATATATATTACATGTTATTAAATGTGTTTTAGTTATTGTATTTATATAAATTTATAGGTATTGAGCAGAGTAGTACAAGATGATCCTCCTTCCCTTCCATCAGATGCATCGTTTTCTAAGGAATTTAGAAATTTTGTGAGTTGTTGCCTTACAAAAAATTATAAACATCGTCCAAAATATCATAAACTCATGGAACATCCTTTTATTCGAAAATATGATGTACCACAAGATGAAGAAACAAACTCTTCAGTTCTAAATTCTAGTTGCCAATGGTTTGGCAGAGTTATGCAACAATTGGAACCAAGGTAAATTGTCAATAATTGTTAGTTAAAAATACTAAAATATAGTTTTTAGCTGTTATATAGAATATTTTTGATTAAAAAAGATATACGTGATAAAAAAAAACGAGATATGCTATTAGAAAAATTCGTTCTATAAAAAACGAATAGAGTTTTAAACATGGCATGAAATTCCCAACTAATATCATAATGATTTGGTTTGGTTTGAAAATAACCGGGTATTGTTTTTTATATTAGTTTTAAAAATTTTAACACACTTCAGCATTCATGGTTAATGGGTAGGTATTAAAAAACAGCTCGAAAAATTACGCTGAATTTTAAAGTTGGGTTTTTGTTGGATACTAGTTTTTATATATTTATCTCTTTTTATTCATTACCAAACGACATTTACGAACCTATCCATACATTTCGATTAAAAGTTTGCGTGCGTATTAAATTGTGTTGCAGCGTTGAGCTTGAGGGAGGCAGCGCAGCATAGCATCCTCTCTCCCTCGCCCCTGCCCCTTTTTCCATTTTCCTTAAAAATTTATCCATAAATTCCAAAAAACTTAAAAAAAATACACCTCACAATTATCCAAAAATCTGCCCGATTTTCATTTCGAGTTGTTTGGTTTGTGCACGCGCCTGTTACACACCCCACCCTTCAACCCTCATTCATGGTAAGCATTGTTTTTATTTATTTGAATATTCATTTATTTGTCTTTATCTTATGTAGCGATCTGCCAGTGGCACAAATAATTTTTTCCTGTGCACACTCCATTCATTATAAAATAAAATTATTTTTTCAGTTATATTATTATTTTTTATTATATTTTTATTCTTATTTTAAATATTAGGATAATATCAGTTAAAATTTCTTATGTTTTTAGCATGCAATATTTCGAATTTTTTATTTTTGAATATAGATATTTTTTATGATCTGTTACCTTGGTAAAAATTCCTCTATCCTTGTTTGTGTTGCATGATTCTATGATTAACGTTCTAACTTCTATTAACCCTCTGTAAACTCAAATTTTTTTACAGAATCATCATGATACGATTATCTTGGTACCAGTGACATTTTTAAATGAATTATGCTAATTTTGGGGATATAGTAATTTATTTTTGATAATATATTAATTATTGTTTAACATTATTGGATTAGTTTCAGATTGCCAGGGTGGCAGCAGCGAATCACGGGTCATGTATCTCTAAAACAAACAGCTCATCTCAGGGCTCAATCTGAAGTACCAGCTTTCCTACGAAGCAATGTCACCAAAGACTCACAAAACTCCAGCTTTTTGCCATTTCATCAACGATCAAATAGTGAGAATGGTGCGAACTATGTATCTTATAGTCCATACGCTCTTAGACGAAAGGAAATTTCCAGGCCATTTTCTCCTCCTTCGTCGAATGAGGCGGATATATCAGAAACGAATTTTCAACGACCATATTCACCTTATAAACAACATGTCGATCAAAATAGGGATTATTCTTCGAATCATTGTTCTATTAATGGACAAGGTAGACAAGAAGGAAGACCGTTCTCTCCATATCGACAAGATTCTAGTACAATAGAAGGAAATAGACTTTATTCACCATATCATGGACGCTTTACGGAAGATCGAGATACCAGTAAGGAAAGATGGCAAGGTGTCTCTAGATCTTTAAGTCCATTTGCTCGAGATTATTCACCATGGAGGAGAGAAAATGTTGATCCTCCAAATGTAATACAATCAACTGAAAGTGGACGTTATTCTCCATTTCTTCAACAAAGATTAGGACAAACTCCATCTGTGCCTCAAACTCATCCACAAACACAAGATATTTATGGTAGTCCTATGATTAGTCGTAAAAGGTAATAATGTATTATTATAGTATATTATAGTATGTACTATAATATGATTAATAATTTTTAATAATAATGATTATTACGTATTTTTTTTTTTATATGTTAATTTTTCTTAATATAGGTTTCCTTCTGAGCCTCCTCCACAAGGATCTCATGGTTCTACTAGCCCTGAATTATTAATTTCTCGTTTTGCTCATCAATTAAAACAAGAACCTTCATCTGCTATGCCACCTGTTCAGGGTGGATCTAAAGAATCTGCCAAGAAGCGATTTGCTTCTTATGTTCGTCTTAGACTTGGAAGTGAACGTGCTCCTTCGCCAGAACCTCCACCAAGATTAAGTCGTGGTGAATCTCCTCTTGCCCTTAGAAGGAATTTAATGGATCAAGCCTCTCCTTCTTTCGCACGAAGGTATTTTTATTTTATTGGTTTTAAAATGTAAACAATTTTTTAATCTAATTATTCATTCCAAGGTATGTTTCATCTTCTCCGCCTCAACCACCACCAAGAAGGTTATCGGAAAGTAATTCCGTACCTGGTAGCCCTCAACATGTACGAGCTCGATTACGTTACACTCCTGAACCGCAGAGGAGACCTCCGCCTCCATAACCCACCGTTACGATTAAATCATATTCTTTGTTGGTGCCATATGCGATAAAAGTAATTGAATTAATTACATGTATCACGTAGAACCGTGTTATAATCAACAATGGTTGTGCATACAAGTGATCTGTGCACAATATACTTGAAAACAATTCTAAACCAAAAAATAGTTGTTTGTAATACTCGGTGATATTGTGAATTCTAATGTACGTGTTTGAATCATGGACTTAAATACGTACTATCTATAATGTTATTATTGAACATTGAAATTGTTCGCAAGTATAAAAAGAAAGGTAGACTCCTAAATTCGAGAGGACGGTCTTTGGGATTCATTTTTGCACGATTTCCGTGGCTGTAACGTACCGCGTTGAACTACTTTGTCAATAATTCTCTTATCGACGTGTATTTATATAGAATGCAATCACTGATGCAATACGATGCTCAACTTTTTATATTGCTTGTAAAGATATAAATGAATGTAGTATGTTCGACGTTTTTTTAAAAAAAAATTAATAAAAAATAAAAAATAAAAAGAATTAGAAAAAAGAACAAAAAAAGACTAAAAGAGAAAAGGAAATCGTTATTAAGGGATGCGGCATCGTACTGAACGCGTAAACCGTTCCTATCATTCTTCGTTTACGCTTCTTTTCTTATCGAGAGACAAGTGAGAGTATGTGAAACCAAACTTGTAAAGTAGTTTTCTCGTCCTCGGGCGGCCTTGCAGTATCTCTGCAATTTGACTTAGATATGATGATTTTTCACATTTCATTATCGTTTGTAAAATAATATCAAACGCATACAGCGATCACTGAATTAATTGAGTGAAAACCAAATCGTAAAAAATATTAAAACGACGTTTCCGTAAAGAAAGCACAATATTCACGTCTCCTAGATTCTACGAGTTTCAACAAATGTATATTATTTAAATAAGAGGCGTGTTTGGGCTAGTACGTTGTAATTATTATTTTTAATTAACATTTATTCATTAACTTTGTTCAGTCTACACTCGTAATCACCTTTGTCGCTTATTTGACAAATGGATCTGTTGCAATGTAAATAAACTTATATTTATACGATACCATTGACTTATTTCATTTATTTCATTATTTGCATTAAGAATTTCAGAATAAAAATTATATTCATTAATATTTATGATTATTGCTCATTGGCGCAGCCATTTATTAATGTATTTTTATCGTGTACTGCCACGTAATGCTAAGCAATTTCTTTTTGTTAGGCGCTCATGCGCGATGCTATTATTGCTTCGTAATGGTTTCATTTAGTTGCAATAATTATATTATAACAATTTTTTATTTTATTATAAATATTAGTAGATTTATAAAATAATAATATTTTTACTCGAAAGAATAATTGTATGTTAGAAATCTGAATTTATTGTCTTTAATAAAACGACATTATTAATATTTATATTGATATTGCTTCTTTTATATAGATGAATATATGAAATCGAGAATAATGAATTTTTCTATAATTATTAAACTAAAATCTTACATAAAATCACATAAATATTACATTAATTTCTAATTTTTTTATATGATTTCAGTTATAAGAAAGATTAGTTTGAATAAAAAATTAAATTATTACAAAACATTCTTTTAATCTAGTTAAATTGAAAGTAATGAAATAGTAACGAATTCATTATCTTTTTTGTTCTCAATGTGTAAGTGCATAGACTTATGGTCGTATATTATATAGATATGCATATTGTACATTTTTTGTGTAATTCATGTTTATTAATATTATTTATAAACAATATAATACATTAAAAGCATTGTATAACTTTTTAAAATTAAAAGAGAGTATATAATTTTATATGAAAAGGGCTTGGTCGAAGATCATTTTAAAAATAAATTCTTCACTCGAATCGGCCCGTCCCTGAGTAATCAATATGGCCTCCAGGTCTACGCGGGGCACGCTAACGTAGTGTAGATATTTCTTCAAAAATCTGTAGAACAAACAGTTTCTGTGATAATATAATTAGTCAAGCTGTTAAAGAGTGTATGGAAAGATATTTTCGTGGTATTTTATAAAATATCAGTGATAGTATTCAGTCAGGAACAAATTTAGAAGGCATTCCACTGCCGTTGTAACTACTACTTGTACTTTGCGGAAGACATCGTCAACGTTACAGTACGATTCAGTAGTCGTTCAGCATTTAACAATTAATTTATTGATCGCTAAATCTTACAATGAGGTGGCAATTTAAGTGTAAAGATTCATAGTTTCCAGTTATTAAAATCTAATATTATGTCTGAAAATAAGAGCAAAGAAGATGCCACGATGGAGGGTTGTCAAGAAGGGGGCGAAGAAGAAGGTATGGCTGCCGAAAGGGTCGAAGATAAGGTCAGTATCCAACAGATTCTCGAGGGTATGACTAATGAATTTAACAAAAGTGTAAGTCCCGTCAAAAGTACAGAAATTAATCGATCAGAAAAATTGGATCATGAGGAGATCGAAAAATCGGAGATAAATTTTGATAAATCAGCAATTGAAAAAGACCTTGCTGGAGATAAGGATATAGAAGATATTTCAACAAAGCAAAAGACCACAGAATCAATGTCAACAGATGAAAATCATAAAGAAGATCATAAAGAAGATACTGGAAAACAAGAAATTTTGAAAAAAGATAATGGAATTCCGCGTATCGTTCTTACTTTCAGAACAATCGACGAAAATACCGATGATGGTAAAAAAACAAAGATATCAAGTTGTTCCTCCAACCTTACTTTAGTTCCTGATGAATTGGTAAATTGTGATCAAATTGGCGGTGTTTCTGTTAAGATTGAAAATTCAGATGAAAACTCCGATAATGTTGAAAAATCAGATTCAGAAGAAGGTAGACCAGAAGAAATAGCCATAGAATCCAAAAATAAAGAATCAGAGGAAAAGATAGAAGAATCAAAATTACCAAAAGAAGATATGAGGGTAGTAACAGAAGATAAAACTACTATTTCTAATGAAAAAACAAAGACTGATGAAGCAGATACTTCAATAGAACCTACAGAACAGGTGGATCAAGCAGACAGCATAGTTCCAGTTACTAGGAAAAGAAGAACAGGACGACCTAGATTAAGAGCACTTAGGTTTTTTATTTTCTTTCATTTCAAATATATAAAATATTATGCATGATATTTGTAAACATTTCATGACATTTTTAGTGATCACACTGAAGAATCTCCAGGTCCTAAACGTTCTGCAAGGAGACTATGTAAAGAAACATTAAAGAGTACTGTATTAGAAAATGCAATGGCAAGGAAAGAAAAATCTAATTATACAGAAGAAAATTTACAATTTAAAAAACAGCGGAAATATAATAAACCAGGAAGACCTAAAAAGGTGATACAAGGAAAGGATCAAAATAAACAATTGCAAACTAAACCTCCTGACATACGTCAGGAAATAGAATCTTCCATTTCAGATGGAAATATCACTATTTCTGAGGTAAATTCAACATTAGAATATTCTAGAAATTCTATATCAGAAAATAATGCAAATGAGACAATTCTGGATGAATCACAAAATTTTTCATCTGATTTTGATGGTATGCCAAAATTATCTCCTATGATAAAAAGTTCAGAATCTCAAACAAAATTGAATAACTCAATTGGTAGTTCCGCAAGCGATGACATATCTTTAGCAGATATTGAAAAACCATTTTTAAAACCTGCTGCTGGCAGACCTAAACGAGAAAGAGGAAGACCTAGAGGAAGTCAAGCTGCAAGAAAAATAGCAAAAGCAGATTCATTTGAAGGTATGAGACGTATATTTTATACAATATAAAATAGATTTTTCACCTCAATTTATTTTGTTTTAAATTTTTGACTTATATATTTTTAGATGGCTCTGTATCAATTGCAGAAACAGGCAAAAACAATGATTATCCTGAAGGTAATATTTCAAAATTTTTTAATATTCATAATTATTACAAAGAATGATTATGTTAATTTATATTATTTTTATGATTATAGAAAGCATTGTACCTATAAAAAGAACAAGAAGAAGTATGGCTCCAAGTCCAAGCCCTGCAGAAGGACAAGCTTCAAAGCCAGAATCAACAGCAATTATGAGTGAAGTTAGTAGAATGAATGAAAAGTATTATATATATTTATTATTTATTTAATATATTTTAAATTTCATTTATATATTTCATATATTTCATATCTTTTATATTTTTTATATTTTTTATATTTTTCAGACATATAGTCAATCAATGTTATGTTTGTGTCAAGTAAGGTCTCAACTCTATGTAACAATAACTGGTTCTGGAGCACCATTATATTGTACTGCAATAGATTCTATTGATAATAGATTGGTAGGATGTTGTAATGAAGTTGATAGCAATGATGTGGCAATGAGAAGACCGAGTACACGTGTTCCTTTTATTATTTTATGTCGAATGCATAAAGAAAGGCTTTTAAGACATAATTGCTGCCCTTCTTGTGGATTGTTTTGTTCACAAGGAAGATTTATACAATGTATTAATGGTCATCAATATCATCGTGAATGTGAAATTTATCCAAATAAAAAAGGCGTATGTCCACATTGTGGAAACGAAACTACAGCATATGATGTAATGGTCACTATGAGTGGATTAAGAAAACCTGTATTCATTCCAACTCGAAAAAAATTTTCAAAGCTTCCTTCTGCAAAAATAAGTTTACCAGGAAAGGGTGACAATACAAAATTGGCAGAACGTCCTCCTAGTCCTTTGATTCAACCAGATATTATTAAAATACCTGAACCATCTGTTAATTCTGAAAGACCTGAACGTTATACTATTATGAGCCTATATACATCTGTAAAAAATGGGGATTTGGAAAAACTAGTTAATGTTTTAGGTACGTTATTGTATATACTTTTCAGTTATAAAAAATCATTTATAAATATCTTAATATTTTAGCATGTGGATATAATGCAAATCATACATTCCGAGATTATGCTCATCGGACTGGACTTCATATAGCTGCAGATAAAGGTCATTTGTCTTGTGTACATGTACTAGTTCAAGCTGGCGCTCAATTAGATGTGATGGATAGAAATCAATTAACACCTTTGATGTTAGCTGCTAGTAAGGGTAAAGCTGATGTAGTAAAGTATTTAATAAGGATAGGTGCTGATGTTACATTGAAAGGAGAAGATGGTATGACTGCTTTACATATGGCTGCTAAATCTGGTCATTTAGAAGTGTGTAGGATAATTTTGACAGAATGCAAAGCACCGAGAACATTAGTAGGTAATTAAGTTTTTATTAAAGTGATATACTATATTGTGTTATATGAATTGTTTTTATATTACATGTAATAATAATTATTATATTCCATTAGATTCAGTTGATGATGGTGGATGGACTAGTTTAATTTGGGCATGTGAGTTTTGTCATACTGACGTCGCACGATTCTTATTAGATAGAAAATGCGATCCTTTAATTCGAGATGCAGAACAAAACATAGCATTGCATTGGAGTGCTTTTAGCGGAAGTTCAGAAATTACAGAAATGCTACTTAATGAAGGTTGTGATGTAAATGCTGTTAATGTTCATGGTGACACACCTTTGTAAGTTTTTAAATAGTTATATTGTTTTTAATATGTCTAAAATGATAAATTTTCATATATAATATTTAATGACATTATAGGCATATAGCAGCAAGACAAGATCAATATGCAGTTAGTGTTCTTTTATTAGCTCGTGGTGCTAAAATAGGAGAAGTTAATGCTGCAGGTGAAACAGCAGTAAATTGCTGTACAAATGATGGTGATACTATGTCTGCTTTAAGATTAAATGCCAAAGTCAATGAACTTTCTGAACATATGTGGGAAAAAACAATCAAAATATTAACTAAGTAATTACAAAATTTAATGTTTTTATTTTCAATAAAATAATAGTAGTGAAATATTTATTACTTTATTTTTGCAGTGATATCTCACGTGGTAAAGAAACTAATCCAATACAATGTGTTAATGGCTATGATTCAGAAGATAAGCCAACAGATTTTCTTTATGTAACTGAAAATTGTTTTACTAGTAATATAAATGTTGATCGTACGATAACATCTTTAC